GAAAATTAAACCTTATTTTCAATAAGCAATCCTGAAAAATATTTGGGGGTGCTTAACTTTTTTCCAGGTGTATATATCAAACACAACAAATATATCATTATCACTAAACAAAGGAAACTGAGTTGTTGAGAAAATTCTTAATGACTGTAACAACTTATAAACAAAGGACCATTATCCCATACTTTACAAAACGAGATTTCTTAGAAACCTAATGATTAGAAATATTATTTCTGATTGTGTTTTCAACATTGTATAGCCTACAGGCTTCCAAGCTGGTGTATTTATATGGCCTGCCGAAACTTCACAAACCAGACATCCTCCTCCGACCTATACTTTCCACCTAAAATCATTGTACTCATCCTAAAATCCAGAGAAGTTATTCAGCCCCCCCCCCCCCCATTAAAGATCACGTGATGGCTAGCTTCCATATGACTTCTCTTTTTACTAATACTCCCCTGGACGAAACCATTAATATTACACTGTCTTATCTAAAAACATTCTTGTTAATGGACTTTCTAGCCTGGTTTCAATGGTTCATATTATTACGTTCGTTATTTGCTTTATTATTACAGAACATAACGTTTTTTGGACAACGTGGGACCTATTGGTCGATCTCGCCTGTTCCATTCTCTACACTAAATTATTAATAAACAAATCTTAAAGCCAATTCTTAGCATTCATATACTTATCAAGCTTTTTCTTAAACTCACTTACATTTACTGCCTCTACAACATCTGAAGGCAACCCATTCCGAAGGCCAACCACCCTGTTAGAAAAATAAAACTGTCTTAGCTAAAGATGACTCCTACTCTACCAAAATTTATATTTCTCTCTCCTAGACCTGTTATTCTCACTGTTAAATATGAAAAAAAGATGATGCATCAACACTATCAATTCCCTTTACAATCTTAAACACCTCAATAAGATCCCTCCTAACTCTTCTTTTTTCAAGAGAAAATAATTTGAGAGATTTCAACCTTTCCTCGTATGACAAACCCTCCATCCCAGGCACCATTCTAACAACCTTTACCAATAATTCAATGTGTTTCATAATGTAAGAAGCCCAAGACTGAACACAATACTCCAAATGTAGCCTAACCAATGGCCAATACAATGAAATTATAACCTCTTTAGACTCGTATTCAATATTTTCTGTAGATACATCCTAAAATCCTATTTGCCCTACCACTAACAACAGCACTCTGTTTGGATGGCTTTAGAGACTGATCAACTATTATAACAAGACCCCTTTTTTTGATGACACTGTTAAGGTTATTCCCATCCAAATTACACTTATAATTTAAATTATGATAACCCACACGTATTATATTGCATTTATGATAATTAAAACCCATCTGCCATTTATTTGCCCAAGTCACTAAATGATCTAAATCCTTTTGTAAATCAGCAGCACCCTCTTCACAGCTAGAAACACCCAAAACATTAATATCATCTGCAAATTTATTGACCATGCTTTCATCTATGTCATTGATGTAAATCAAAAAGAGCAAAAGTCCTAAGACTGAGCCCTAAGGTACCCAACTTGTGACATTAATCCAGTTTGACACTGAACTCCATTTCTAACAACTTCTGCTTTCTTCCATCCAGTCACTCTTCTTTTCAATTTGCTAACTTATCCTTCACACCTATAATTTTTTACAAGCCTTTTATACCTTGTCAACTGCTTTCTAAAAATCGAGATTTTTAAAAATTCTAAACTTTGTTAAATGACTTTGCAAAGCATCTTTTATTAGACTTTCAAAAATTTTCCCACAACTGATGTAAGACTAATGGGTCTATAATTACTTGGATAATTTTTATCACCCCTCTTGAAAAGAAGAGTTACATTAGCTAACTTCTAATCCTCTGGTATCTGCCCATTATTCAAGGACTTACAAAAAATAGTAGCAAGTGGCTCACATATCCAATCTTTAACCTTCTTCAAAACCCTTGGAGAAATATTATCTGGCCCGGGAGCCTTATCATTCTTTAAACTTCCATTTTTTTCTTCTTAACCCGCTCAGAATTAATGCAGTCACCTTGTTTCCAAATAAATATCGTTTCTACTCCGTGGTGAAATAGTGCTGCCATCTAGAAATTTACTTGAAATTCATAATTTTTCTTTTACTCCTACTGACAGATTATTTCAAGTTGATTTCTCGAAACATATGATGTGACTTATAATTTATTTCAAAATATAGCTTGTCAACTAAAACCTAATTGTTGCTGTTTTAAGTACTAAAACATTGGTATTATTAAAATTCATTGTCTGGCTTTGATGTCTTTTTATAAGATTAATTTTAATTAATAATATTCAGCGTTTTTTCTTTTCTGAATGT